TAGATTTGAACGGCCAACCTGTGGTTCAAACTGATCTCGCAGTCCAGTGCTTATGCTACAGTGCCATACTAGGACTCCCAATAACATCATTGTTGTTAAGTGCTGTCGAGTTGATTCTGATCCATAGTGACCAGGTATAGGGTTTCCAAGGAGGAGCTGGTGAGCTTGAACGACTGACCCTGCAGTTCAAATGATTTTGCAGTCCGACACATTAGCCCACAGCACCACACCAGGACTCCCAATAACATCATAGTTGTTAGGAATTACCATAATAAGATAAGTACATTAGATCACAAAATGGAGGATAATGACTTAATATTGAGAAATATGAACTGGACAAGTTGACACACATTTTGGGGGGACACAATTCAATTAATTAAAAATCACTAACTCAACATCTCAGAATTTCTTTCCTTATCTTTTTCTAAGTCTCCTGTTCAAGACTTAGAAAGTCCTCAATGCTGTATGTTTCTAAGAACATACATGCTATATGTTCTTAGAGAGTTGTGCCCCTTTTCTTCAAAATTGCTAACACAATTATTTATTTGTGTGTATGTGTGTTTCACTATTGTTTTGTCACCTAATAAATAAGTGAAATACTATTATGTGATTTGTTGGTTTGGGTATTTTCATTTCCTTTATATCATTAACATAAATCCCCAAATTTATCTTAAACATGTTTCTCGCCATATCTGTTTCTCAATTAACTCATTATGGTTTGTGATTAAAATAGGGGAACAAACAAACAAACAAATCCACTGCTATTGAGTCAATTACAACTCAGAGCAACCCTATAAAGGGTCCCTGAGACTGCAACTCTTTACAGCCTCAGACAGCCTCATCTTTCTCATACAGAACAGTGGGAGGTTTCCATCACCAACCCTAGAGTAGGGGAAGGAAAAGAATTAATACAGTATTTGTTTAGTGCATATTCCATATCATGGACTCAATGTATTTAATATTAACAATAAGCCTGTGACATATAAATATATTTTACATGTGCCATTTGAACCTGAGGTTTGGAACACATAGTTAGGAATAGATAGACCTTGAATTCTTGCTCCAATGTCCTCTTGCTGTATGATATTTTCACCAAGCACACCACTTTTCCAAATGTTCAGAGTTACAATCTATCATTTACTCAGTGAGCCATGTTCCCCTTTTTCCCTACCATTTCTCTCTAAGGAGAAGAAGAATTCAACACATGTAAGTTTCTTTTGAACTGATGGAAAGAAAATGCCTTTACAAATAATTAAACATGAAGTTAAAAAGTAGGGTGTTGAACTATTTCAGAACCTGTATAACTGTTCAATTCTGTTACCAGCCTAGTTTCAGTTTTTGTTATTGGTGAACTTTAGGTCTTTGAAATGATTTACAAATGATTCTTAATTATACTGTGTGTTTTTTCATCATTTAAAAAAATTACTAAACTGTTTAAATTTTAGAGAATTTCAGTTTACCCAAACTCATTTTAATCCCTTTTCAAGATCTGTGTACCTCATGTTCTAGTGAGAAATAAGGTAATTGCAATTACAAGCATTTCACATTTTATAAACAATTTGAGTTCCAAGAGTTCACTGGTTAGTTGTTTGGGATTAGTACATGTTTTCCCATTGACTTAATCTAATAAAGGATGCTGATTTCCCAAGCTGGCATTTCCTTGTCCTACTCCTTCCCTCCACCCCCAAATCAACAACAAAGCAAAAAGGCTATCTAAGCCAAGGTGAGCAACATTAATTTTACTGGTCTGAGGTCTAGAGCATGGGAAGGATTTCATAATTTAATATGCATCAACACCAAAATTGATGAAGGTTGAGTTCACATAAGGAAAATCTACAGCTATCTGGGAGGTTGCTTCTGATCAGCAACACAAACTTTTCCTTCTTTTTTTTTTGACTCTTCTCATTCTACACTTTTCTTTCTGCACTTTTAAAAATTATTGATTCTCCAATTATGACAAAAAATGAAAAAAGGAGAAGAAACTTCAAACTTTCATACTCTTTGATAGGTACAGGTGTGAGGACTCTTTAACAACTAGATATCTGGCAGATTGTAGAAATGGCACTCCCTCTGATGTTACTTGTTTAACTCAGTCTTCAAAATTCCATAGAAGTGATATTTTTCTTAGCGCATTTCCTCCCTCTATACCTAAGGAGCTCTGGTGGCACAATGGGTTAGTTATTGGCTGGTAACTCCAAGGTTGATGGTTCAAACCCGTCAGCTGCTCCAAAGGAGAAAGGTGAGGCTGTCTGCTCTCATAAAGGTTTACAATCTCTGAAACCATTGAGATAGAGTTGCTGTGAATCGGAATGGATTCTATGGCAGTGGATTTAGGATAGATGCCTCAAAGTTTTGGTAACAAGCATTATTTGCTTTTAAATTGTATGTAATACTTTAAAAAAGCAATTTCCCTTTTTAATTATCACCCTTATAGCTAACATTCAAAGTAGGCATGCCTTTTGTCATATCGATGTTATAGATGAAAAAAAGAAGAAGAAGATTTGAGATATTAGGTTTAAAAAAAAAAAAGCCAAATTCTAAATCTTCTATATGCTAATTTCAGGGCCTATGTTGTCATTTTCAGTCTTTTACACATTCACGCATCTCACCTACCTCATATTTAAACTCTGTAAAAGACATTTTTGTTGTTGTTGTTGTTAATTGGCTGTTAGTATCAAGGACACTATCTAGTACTCATAACTAGCCCAATAAATGTTGAATAATTAGATCTCATTCTCTTAATAGTTTTAACAAGGAGTCCTGATAGCATAGTTGTTACACATTGGATTTCTAACTGAAGAGCCCAGCAGGCACTTTGAGGGAGAAAGATGAGGCTTTCTGCTCCTGGAAAGATTTACAGCCTTGGAAACCCCTATACAGGGTTGCTATGAGTTGGAACTGACTCAGCGGCACACAGCCATCCATCCAATTAGTCTGAGCAATAGTTAACTTATGCATGTTTACTGCGTGAAAAATAAGATTTCAAATTGTCTTCACATTTATGAAAAGCAACCTATGGCAGTGGTTAAAAATACAAGCGAATTTGATATTTTAATTAATACTAATGTGACAGATATAATCCTGACTGTTGGAGCCTCCAGTCTACAGTTTAATTTGCCGACTTTAGGAACCAGGGGACTGGTTGTAGTAGGGGAAACTATCACAAAGGAATTATTAGATTCTTCTGACTCTTCCTTATGTGTTATACAATTCTGGCAATTTAAAAATGATTGCAAAATTTAATAAAAAATTATGCAGCTACATGAACTGACACGAAAAACAGCCAAAAATGTCCATATTTAATATCTTTAATCTGTGGCCCAATAGAAAGAGACTGTGAAGACTATCTTTTGAGTTAAGTGACAAGGCAAAACTTTAGCTAATGTCTAGCTTATCTGACAGTTGATTTCTTGCATTAATTTTAGTCTATTCATAAAAAAGAAGTGAGGCCACAGGACCACCGCTCATATTCATCACTACTTAGATTACAGGTAGAGTAAGATGATTTTACGTAACTATCTCGTTTTTTCTGACAGAGTATAAAGGTCAAAACCAAGGTTGACTGTCACCCCTTAGGCCACTTGTAAGTGGAGGAGCTTTGGAAGGGAAAACAAAACAAAATAACAAAAGAGAAAAACAAAACAAAATCCTCTAACAGCTGTGCTTTCTTTCTTTCACAAGAAATAGTCTTGAGCCTGATATAGACTTATATATTAAATGACAATCAATAGTCATCAAACTGCTGACACACGGCACATATTTTGCATGCATGATCTCAATGAAATGAATCCTCATCAAAGCTATATAAAAAAGCCATTGTTTTCTTGAAGAAATTGAGGTATAATACTTAACCATGGTCATACAAATGGAAATTTATTTAGCTAGGACTTGAAGAGAGGTCTCTTTTTGTTGTTTTTGGAACCCAGGACGGACGTGTGCACTTCATGTTTCTACTATACCACCTCCCCAAGTATTATCCTTACATGTATTGACAACATGGGCAAACTGCAATGAAGAATTCTGTCTCGATTTCCTTGCCTATGCTGGAATTGCTCTCTTTCTCTCCTGTATCTTATGAAATACTTAATTGGAATCAACAGATAGTGAGAAGTTACATTAAAGGCCATAAGCACACTGTATAGAATAGGAACCACAACAGTGGCACCTCGGAGTGGGTCACAAGTGATTCCTGAAATATTGTTTTGATGTGTCTTGTTTTCATTAAAGCTTGTTTTAAGGCATACTTATTACATGTATTTCATCCATCCTCTATCCCACCCCCTTCATCCATACGCTCCACCATGGAAGGGTGTAGAATTCTTCTTGATAAGTCCCCAAGAAAGGATCCAGGGAAAGTCTCTAAGAAAGAATGCAGAGAGTCATCTCACACAGTAATGTAGGATCTGAGCACTCTGTAGCCACCCCCTCAAGTTCCCAAATCATCTTACAGCCTTAGTAAAAGAGAGGAAAGAGATTTACCTTTGAGGCTGAAGCCTGAAAGTCATGTATAACCTTTGAAGGACTGTAATGGTTTTAATCACAGGAATGGCATCTTTTTGACAGGCAAGAGAGAGAAAAGAACTGAACCACTCTGAAAATATTAACAAGGCTATTTTGGAGCAATGGCTATTGCCTTTGAAATCTTTCATCATGGGTCTATACTTAGAATTCAGATGGCACGGGGGAGGGGGATAGGGCAGTGTTAATCCCCAGTTGTTTTGAAGTTGTCTTGTAAGCAGGTTAGCATCGAAACCACCCAAAATGGAACTCTCCAATGCTCTGTTTAAGTTGTGTGAATCTCTGTGTTTTGTCTTACTTTCTCTACATAGAGATTGCCATATAATCCTGAGGGATGATACTGCTCAGTTTTCTTTCAAACTAGATTTTCTGGAGTGTACTGGCTGTGATCACATTGGGAGACTGATGCTCCAGGACAGCTAAAAGTTGGATTGGGTTTCAGGAGCTGCTATATATAAAGCTGGGGCAATTTATGTCACCGCACTAATTAAATGCCATCTGGGTGGCTCCTCTGGGTTTTTGAGCCCATCACCCAGTTCAGACAGAGTCAGAGGCCAAGGAGGAGAACATGATGATGGACCTTTTTGAAACTGGCTCCTATTTCTTCTACTTGGATGGGGAAAATGTTACTCTGCAGCCATTGGAAGTGGCAGAGGGCTCTCCTTTGTACCCAGGGAGTGATGGTACCCTGTCCCCTTGCCAGGACCAAATGCCCCCAGAAGCAGGGAGCGACAGCAGCGGTGAGGAGCATGTCTTGGCGCCCCCAGGCCTACAGCCTCCCCACTGCCCGGGCCAATGTCTGATCTGGGCTTGCAAGACATGCAAGAGAAAATCTGCCCCCACCGACAGGCGGAAAGCAGCCACCCTTCGTGAAAGAAGAAGACTAAAGAAAATTAATGAGGCCTTTGAGGCACTGAAGCGAAGGACTGTGGCCAACCCTAACCAAAGGCTGCCCAAGGTGGAGATTCTGCGGAGCGCCATCAGCTACATTGAGCGACTTCAGGACTTGCTTCATCAGCTGGATCAGCAAGAGAAAATGCAGGAGTTAGTTGTGGACCCCTTCAGCTTCAGACCCAAGCAAGAAAATGTAAGCCCAGATGCAGTCGGGGCAGGGAAGCACTAAGGCTAATGAAACGCCTTCCTGAGGCCCTAACCTCCAGCTGCTTGCTCTCCTCTCCCTTTCCCCTTCCTCTCAGCCCTCTCTATAATGAACCCCCAGTGACCCTTGAAGCTGGGGTGCAAGCCATAGGCAGGAAATGCTTACCGAGGTCCGAGAAAACAGGGAGACACCCCCACCCCCCGGAACTGATGCTTTCCTAATCTCTTGCTGCTTCGGTTTTCCCTCCAGCTTGAGGGTGCGGATTTCCTGCGCACCTGCAGCTCCCAGTGGCCAAGTGTTTCGGATCATTCCAGGGAGCTCGTGATAACTGCCAAGGAAGGTAAAGTAAAAGAAAGGGCATTTAGTTACCACAGAGAACATTTCGGGAGGGAACCGGGGTGAGCGTTCGCGTCAGGACTCAGAGCGCGAGCAGGGACTTCTCCGCTACCCTAGCCCTTAAGGACGCTCCTTGTGAGCTAAAAGTTGGATTGGGTCCTGCGTTTCCAAGAGCGCCTAGTGCTGCGCGCAGGGCTACTTCGCTCTTCCATCCTTGAGAGTCATATTTGGATGTGTTTATTTTATTTTATTTTTTTCCTTCTGTGCTCAGGCGGGGCAAACATTGATTCGTCGGCCTCGAGTAGCCTTCGATGCCTTTCTTCCATCGTGGACAGTATTTCCTCTGAAGAATGCAAACTCCCTGGTGTGGAGGAGGTGGTAGAGAAGTAACTTCATGCTGGCTCTTGGGACATTTCTCCGAGAAACAGGAAGATCCCACCCACTTTCCTTTGCCTAATCCTTTAGATTAGGTCGCATTACATTAATATTTAGACACCCAAACTCTGGAGTTTGTAAAAAGGAAGGAGACATCGTCACAAAAGAAAGTTCCTAAACTGTTGTGCACACTCAGATAATAAAGTCCTTTAGCTAAGGACTTTTATTTTTGGAACAGTTAGTGGCTTGGGTTTAGCACCCCTACCTTGTGTGGTTGATTTGTATCTTAACTTTTATTAAGGCGATCCTTTAGTGCCATGTTCCAAAGAAGTTCATTCCTGTCTAATGCAAAGTGAGAACATTGTTACTATTAGTGTTATTTAATGTCCTTTTGTAAATAATATTAGTACTTAAAATTTTTAAGTAACTTAAGAAATATGGTTGAAATGTGGAATGGTATATTGTATATAAAATATGCGCGGATCCTGGTATTGTAATATTTTTAAAAACATTTCTATATGAACAAAATTAGTCTTAACTTGACTCAACTGTTGTATGTTGAAAAAACTATGGACAGGCTCAGTGTGAGCCTATCGTAAAGTATGTTTGAGGGCATGTGTACAAAAATAAATAGAAGCCATATTGTTAAGTTAGACACCACACAAGCCCATGTATTTAGATGTTTTCTTTAAGGCTACTTTAAGATGAAAAAATAGCTGGCTTTCCTGTGTCTGAATTAAAGTGGACATTTCTATCTCAGGTAAACCTCCTGTGGTCAAAAGTGAAGAGCATGGAGAAGTGACTTTTTATAAGTGTATATACATATATACGCTGATAAAAGGGCGTGTCTTTTTATCAGTTGTTGTTGTTAAGTGCCGTCGAGTCGATTCCGACCCAAGGAGCAGCTGGTGAACTTGAACAACCGACCTTGCAGTTCAAAAGACTTTGCAGTCTGACACATTAGCCCACATCACCACACGGGGACTCCTTTTTCTATATGTGTGTGTGTGTGTGTGTGTGTATATATGTTGTTGTTGTTGTTAAGTGCCGTCGAGTCGGTTCCGACCCATAGCGACCCTGTACAGGGTTTCCGAGGGTGTAAATTTTCATGGGAGCAGAAAGCCTCATCTTTCTCCTGCAGAACAGATGGTAGCTTGGAACTGCTGACTGTGAGATTAGCAGCCCTGTTGGTAACCACTACACTACCAGAGCGATATCTAGATCATGTAAATATAGATATCACTCTGGTAGCGTAGACCTTTTTAAAGTGTTGAAAAGCAAAGATGCCAGCTTGAGGACTAAGGTGTGCCTGACCTAAGCCATGGTATTTTCAATAATCTCATATGCATGTGAAAGTTGGACAGTAAATAAGGAAGATTGCAGAAGAATTGATGCTTTGGGTTATGGTGTTGGAGGAGAATATTGACAGTGCCATGGGCTGCCCATAGAACCAATAGATCTGTGTTGGAAGAAGTGCAGCCAGAATGCTCCCTGGAGGCCAGGATGGCCAAACTTCATCTCTCATACTTCGGACATATTGTCAGAGGAACTAGTCACTGGAGAAGGATATCATGGTTCGTAAGGTAGAGGGGTCAGAGTCAAAGAGGAAGACCCCCCAACGAGATGGATTAGGAAAATGGCAGCACCAATGGGCTCAAGCATGGCAATAATAGGGAGGTTGGCCCAGGATCGAGCAGTGCAGTGTTTCATTCTGCTGTGCATAAAGTCGCTATGAATGGCACTGACTTGATGGCAACTAACAACAACAACAACATCTATATCTAATACACACACACACACACACACACACACACACATATATATGTAAAATCTTTCTCCAGACATTTCTATTTATAGGTCCCAGAGACACCTAAATATGTATTTATCTAAAACAGAATTATCATCTCCCTCACGAAGCTATTTCTTTCTGTTACTAGTTTTCTCATCAAATGACACCATTGTAATCCATCTGGGATAATTCTTAACCCCCCAATTACCATATGTCTAGAGAGAAATCTATCTATCTAGCTATTACATTCAATATACATTACATAAATATGTGCTATATTACATATGGAGTCCAGGTGTAGTGCTGTGGGTTAATGCGCTGGTCTGCAAATTGGCAGTTCAAGTTCACCAGCCACTCCTCGCAAACCCTATACAGGGTCGCTATGGGTTTGAACTCACTTGAAGGCACTTAACAGCAACAACAACAATATATATATATATATATACATACATATAGATGTATATATATGTATGTATATACATACATGTTGTTGTTGTTGTTATGTGCAGTGCAGTCGGTTGCGACCCATAGAAACCCTGTACAGGGTTTCCGAGGCTGTAAATCTTTACGGGAGCAGAACGCCTCATCTTTCTCCCGCGGAACAGCTGGTAGTTTCGAACTGCTGACCTTGTGGTTTGCAGTCCGATTTGTAACCACTACGCTACCAGAGCTCCTTATATACATACATATATGTATGTATATATGTATTTTTTTTCTGATTGGTTGCATACATCGAGATCTAAATGATATTTACTTACCCAATGTTACCAACTGAATGGTCAACTCAGTAAAATCTTATTGTTGTGTGAAATTGCCACACAAACCACTTTGCTTACTTTCTGATAGACTTTCCATTGATATATCCCAAATTACTTTTCCTTTTTGACTTTCATTATCTGTAGTATCCAGGGATATCACTGGCCTTCCATTCAAGCCTTTGGCCCCTGTCCCATTTTCTTGTACTAGATAGGTCACTAAAACAAAATACTACCAGTGGTTTGGTGAAGTTGATCCCACCTCAAGTGACTATATATTGTTGTTGTTGTCAGGTGCCATCAAGTCAGAACCGACTATATAGAGTAGATTAAATCTGTACCCTAGGGTTTTCAAAGCTGCAAATCTTTACAGAAACAGAATGTCACACCCTTTTCCCATGAAATACTTGGTGGGTTCGAACTACTACCGTTTAGATTATCAGTCCAGCACTTTGGCCACTGTGACACCAGTGGATAGCCTCACAGTCTCATGTGACTTTGGTTTGTTTTCAAAATAGAAAGATAAAAGAAGCTGGCAATCCATTTCTTTAGGTGGGAGGGTTTCTTTGAAAAGAAGGTTTTTCCAAGAGAGGGAAGGGTTAATGGTTGAGGGCAAAAGACAACAACACACATGAAACCTCTTAGCTGGGCCAAACAGCAAAGCCCCAGAGAAGCTTGACACCCCAGGACCTGAGGATTTTACAACGTGTGCCAGGTTTGTTTATCCAGTAACCTCAGGAAGAAACGACCACCAAGAAACACAGTGGGAAGTGAAGCAGAGGAGAGGACCAAGTCACTGCGTTTGAATTGATCCTTCTCACAGTAAATGACACTTTCACTCCCTTCCTACCCCTTCCCTTTGTTGTTGTTGTTGTTGTTGTTAAGTGCCGTCGAGTCGGTTCCGACCCATAGCGACCCTGTACAGGGTTTCCGAGGGTGTAAATCCTTACAGGAGTAGAAAGCCTCATCTTTCTCCCGCGGAGCGGCTGGTAGTTTCGAACCGCTGACCTTAAGGTTCGCAGCCCGATTCGTAATCACTACGCTACCAGAGCTCCTTATACATTACTTTATGTAGGAAAGTTCTACTATACTCCTTTTCTCCCCCACAGCACTGCCCAGGTCACAGAGGATAAGAGCAAACCAGATTCAGCATTCCCCAGGCCAGCCTTTCTTTCTAACCCTCCAAAATATGGACATTGGCCCTGAACAACTCAGACATATCAGAAATCATTATAGATAGTGCCCCCTACTGTCAGAGAGGAGTGTCTTGCCCCTCTTTCCATTTGAGACAAGAAGGTCTGTTCCTGACGGTAAAAGTTACTTTGTTATCTGCTGCTTCTGCTGTTGTTGTTGTTGTGTACTGACAACTTGGTTGTGACTCACAGCTACCTTATATAGAGTTTTCAATGCTGTACAGCTTTACAAGAGCAGAAAGCCTTCTGCTTCTCCTGAGGAGTGGCTGGTGGATTTGAACTGCTGTCCTTGTGGTTAGCAACATAACTTGTAACCCACTATGCCACTCAGATCCCTTCTTTGTTTTCTAAATATACACATAATTTTTATTTCTTTTAGAATACTTTAAAAAATCAGAAGGTTCATAGAGGATCATGACATTCGGCATATGATCCTCTTTAAAGGTGTTTGAGAGAAGCAGGTGGCAGTTAAGCAGATGCAAAGAGCTGAGCCTCTGTGAGGCTGACTAGCTGGATTGGATCCAGGTGTCTATTTGGAAGCCCTGGACGAATTATTGCTTCTCTGTAAGCCCTGTTTCCTCACTTACAAAATAATAAGGACCATAATAATGCCTTACTCCTGAGATTGGGACGATGCACTCAGATAACACATGTCAAGTACTTAACTAAAATAGGCCACAAAATAAGCACTAAATGCCAACTCTCTTTATTATATATTTTAAATAAGTCTAAATTGACCATCAAGTGACTTTTCGTCTACCAAAAGCTATAGTTCTTCAGATACTGTTTTCTATTCTGCTGGCTCTAGCTAGGGAAACTATCAATAACAGTGAGAATAAAAGCCACGTGAATGAGCCAGTCTTAGCATTTTACATGTTAGTTTAAGCAACTACTGTGAAAGTTACCTCTGTTACTTCTGTTGTAGACAGAAGTGTCCTTTGAAACAGCCAGGTTCCTGAATCTGGCAAGCACAGATTGAAGGCTTTCAATATAAATGACTTTGATCAGGTGCTCTCAAACTTCAGACATCCTCACAAGAAGGCCTTGGGAAATTACAAAGGAACATTTCATGGTCTATAGAATAACTTTGACAATTGTTTCCAAACAACTCTCCAGTGTGAATAATTAATGAACTCCAAATTACTGCAACAACTTTCATTATTTCAAATGAGCAAACTAGAACATGGCTGAATATGTTAGGGTGTTATGCATACCCATTCATTGAGTTTAGTATGTATTGTTTTTTATCGTGAGCATCAACATAGATTTGCCCTAACG